TGGGGATCCCTCCCTTGGGGCTGTGCCCGCCTCCCCAGCTCCCCCATTTCTCTGTGGGTGCAGCCAGGGCTGTTCTCAGGCTCAGCTGCTGATTTGGAGGTGTAAGAGGACCTGCAGGATCCAAACACCCTTTTCCTTCCTTTCCATCTTGGCGTCTTTTTTTCCTTTGAACTCCCAAATTAATCTTTTTTTCCTTTGAACTCCCTGGAATTAATCCAGGTTCTCACCCCCTCAGTGGCCCCTGCCATGGCACCTCTGCCCACACCTGTCCCAGCCCTCTGGAGCAGGGCTGCCAGCCTCCTGCTGGTCCCCAGAGGGTCAGAATGGTGCCAGGAGCCTGGAGAAGCCTGGGCAGCCCCCCAGCACTGAGCCATGAGCTCCCATCTGCCTCTGAGGTTGGAGGGATCCCTCTCTCCGAGGGTGTCTGTGCTGCACGTGCGGAGCCACAGGGACCTGTCCGTGGTGTCCCCATGCTGGGTGAGCAGAGGGTCACCCCGGAGGTCCCAGCATCGATGTTTCACGTGTCCCCCCCTTCTCCTCGCTCTGCAGGCTGCAAGATCAAAGCCCTGCGYGCCAAGACCAACACGTACATCAAGACGCCGGTGAGGGGTGAGGAGCCCGTGTTCATCGTCACCGGCCGCAAGGAGGACGTGGAGATGGCCAAGCGCGAGATCCTGTCGGCCGCCGAGCACTTCTCCATGATCCGGGCCACRCGCAACAAGGTCAACGGGCTGGCAGGAGCCCTGCAGGGGCCACCCAACCTGCCGGGCCAGACCACCATCCAGGTGCGGGTGCCCTACCGCGTGGTGGGGCTGGTGGTGGGGCCCAAGGGAGCCACCATCAAGCGYATCCAGCAGCAGACGCACACYTACATCGTGACRCCCAGCCGCGACAAGGAGCCCGTGTTCGAGGTGACGGGCATGCCCGAGAACGTGGACCGGGCGCGCGAGGAGATCGAGGCGCACATCACCATGCGGACAGGCTCCTTCATCGACGTCAACGCCGACAACGACTTCCACTCCAACGGCACCGACGTCTGTCTGGAGCTGCAGGGCGGCGCGGCCGCCCCGTGGGCCAARGCTCCTCACGGCGCCCAGCGCCCCTCGGCCGCGCTGCGCAACGACAGCCTCAGCTCGCTGGGCAGCGGCTCCACCGAGTCCTTCTACAGCGGGCGCGTGGCGGCCGCCAGCCCCACCAGCCCCTACAGCACCTTCAGCGAGCCCCCGGCCCCGCTGGGCTCCGAYGAGTGCGACTTCGGCTTCGACTTCCTGGCCCTCGACCTCACCACGCCCACCGCTGCCATCTGGTCGCCCTTCGAGCGCTCGGGCAACCCCCTGCAGGCCTTCAGCAGCTGCTCCTCCATCAACGGCTCGCAGAGACGCAACAGCGGCCCGGCCACGCCGCGCCACTCGCCCACGCTGCCCGAGAGCGGGGCGGCGGCGCTGGAGCACCCCTCGGCGCGGCGCATCCCCAGCGACCCCGCGGGCGCCCTGGCCTGGCTGCCCGCCCAGGGCTCGCTCTCCTCCTTCTCCAACAGCACCGGCTACTCCTCCTCCTCCTCGCTGCCCGGCAGCATCTCGGCCGCCTCGGGCTCGCCCACCGACTCGAGCAGCTCGGACGGGCACCGCAAGAGCTCGCGGGAGTGCATGGTGTGCCTGGAGAGCGAGGTGATGGCCGCGCTGGTGCCCTGCGGCCACAACCTGTTCTGCATGGAGTGCGCCCTGCGCATCTGCGGCCGGGCGCAGCCGCAGTGCCCCGCGTGCCACGCGCCCGCCACCCAAGCCATCCACATCTTCTCCTAGCCCGGGGGCTGGCCCGGCGGCCCCCCCTCCTCCACCCCAACACCACGGCGTTTTAAGGACTTCAAACTGTTGAAACCGAGCTTTTTATTTAATAATGGATCTGACGGGCGCACGGGGCGGGGAGGGGGGCGAGGCGGCGGCGAGGAGCTGGAGAGGCACGGAGGGCGTGGCGGGGGCGGGGGGAGGCCGAATCCGGGGGGTCGGGAGGGTGGGGGCGAAGGGGCCGAAGAAGAAGAAGAAGAAGAAGATGATGAGGATGAGGAAAGAGGGGCGTGAATTCCGCGAGGAGGAAACTCCGATGTTTACAGAATAGCTTTAACTCTTCACCTGGCTGTGGGGCTGGGGAGGGAGCCCGGCTGTTCTCCACCAGTCCTTCCCAAATACCAGTATTCCGTTTGCAAACTGAAATAACCAGAAAGAAAAGGTCCGGTTGCACTTTTTATTTTAGGACACGCAAGGGTTGTCTTTTATTTTTTTAAAATCATTCTATTATTATTATAACAATTTTTTTTTTGGTGGTTCCTTTTTGTATGTAGTTATTTTTTTGGATGATTCTCAGTGGTTCTATAAAAATATATATTTTTTTTTTTTTCGTAATGCAGGTCTATCTTGTATTTTGCCAATGTGAAAACTGCCCAAAATCTGATGTGAGGTCAGGAGGTCATGGGATGGAGGGGGCACAGTTAACACACCATGTCACAAAAACCAGATTTCTATCTCCATTTTATTTTGTGGTTGGTTTTGGGGTTTTATTTTTTGTTTCATTTTCAGTTTTCCTTTTTTTTTTCTTTTTAGTTTTATTTTTTTATTTTTTACCTCTTTATGTATATGTAGGGAATTTATAGGAAAATATGTACTTTATTGAATAAATTTTAAAAACTAAAATATATTTTATTTTAAAAAGAAAATAACGGACCTTTAACCTTACATGGCTAAAGTACTGATTATATATTTGCTGAGCTGACTTGACGGTTATGAAAATTGTATCAAGAGTTTTATTTTTTGACTTCAAAGCCTTCTTAATAAAGACTTTTTACTATATATGAAACCTTGTGCTCCCCACGGTGTCTCCCTGTTTGGAGCCTCTTGGTACCCATTCCTCTTTGGGCCCAGGAGGGGACAGGAGCAGGAACCGATGGGGACAGCGGCCACCTCCCTTGGGTGGGTGGGTCTCTGTCCAGGGGTGACCCTGCTCTGGCTCTGGACTGCTCCTCATCTGCACAGAACCTCCTGCTCTGGGCTCGGTGGTRCTGGACAGGTCCCAGTCCCAAAATCCATCGGTGCCCAGCAGGGGAGGGGGGGATTCTGCCCCTGTGCCCCGCTCAGGTGAGACCCCACCTGCAGAGCTGCCCCAGCCCTGGGCAACAACAGCAGCAGAACGTGGAGCTGCTGGAGCCAGGGCAGAGGAG